CTAGCTCTTGTAGAACAGGTTGGCCTCAAACTCACAGAGATCCACCTGCCTCTGCCTTCTGAGTGCTGGGATTAAAGGCGTGAGCCACTACCACCCAGTTCTGCTGTTTAGCTTTTACAAGCAGCACTAAGGTTAATAAGGCCCCGTGGTGACATGTAGCAGCTACCAATATCTACCTGACAGCTGCAATTTCATTATATAGTAATGAACACATGACCTAGCTTCTGAAAAGATTTGATAATGTATGTAATATCAAACATGAGAGAAATGTAGAAATATTTAAAAATGCAGGTGGATTAAAAAAAGGTAAGACATTTTCCATTTTCTAGGAACAAACAGAAAAGTGTACTTTTATGGTTTACAACCAGCTCCTGGTGATAACACAAAGATTTTGCACTGTAAAAATTTCTTCTTTAGATTTTGCATATATGAAGAAAATGTTTTTTATTTATATAGATTTATCTAATTTTAGATTTCTGGTGCCACTTTGATAAGAAAAGAAAAGAAAAGGTCCTTCTTTTTAGCTTAGTTGATCTTGATTTTACTTTGCTCAATCATGATATTTTAGATGTGGGAAGTTTACAAAAAGTTAAACAATTATTTTTATTCTCTCCTTAGTTTTCTCTGCTACCCATTTATAGACTTATACTTCCTTTGATACGATACTTATATCTTAATCCCAAAATCTGTAATTTTGCTCCTTGATACAACACAAGTGAACTAAAATTTGAAGATAGAAACAAGGTTACATCGATTGAATTCTAGATAGGGAGAGTATTCTGGGACAAGTAGGTGGCTTGTTGTGGTCATAAATGTTTCTCAATCTGGAAGAGGGCAACAGAGATCAGAATCACATGGAAAGATGCAGTGAGAATAACAGAGTCAGAGATGCAGCTGGACTGCTGTGTAAATGGAGAGGGGAACATAACAAGAAAGGACACAAACATCCACATTTTCCTTGGCAACCTTGAGGGAAAACATTCACCCTAGATGAGAAATCACTTTTGTCCAGAGAAATGTTTGTTGAACATCTGAACTGTGGGACAGTGGATTGTTCGAAGGCAGCATAATGTGTCACGTTCTTAAGGAGGACGTTAGTGTACTGTGTTGTTACACAGGTATGACTGTGTAGCCATGTGTCTGTATGATGGCATGCTGTTACACTGGGAGTGACACATGGCTAAGGGCATCTTGCTTATTTCTCATAGCATCCACTTATTTTTGGAAACCATTAATTTATGTGCTTAAAAATTAGAATCCAGACTAAAGTATTCAAACTTTAGAGTAGTTATTATTCATTCCAAAATGGAAATAAAGTTAATGTTAAATAACTAATATTATTTAAAATAATTATTAATTAATATTAATACTGTATAGTAAGAAAGAAACTTTTAAGTTAAAGTTAGAGAAAACGTTAAAAGGTATTTAATGTGCTGTATTTTAAGTTAATATTCTAAAATCTTAGGATTTGTTAGGATAGTATGCTAGCTCACTTATTACTGAGAGGAGATAGTAAGCAAGTTATCCATAGTGCCTACATTATGCTTGGTAATGACAGCATTAGACACATTTGTCAAGAACATAGTACATAATTTCTAAAAGTATTGATATTGGCTTCCCGAGAAATGGATTCCCATTAATAACTTTTTCTAAGGATTTATTTTTGTAACTGAGTTTTGTAAATACGTAATGAGAGCTTCTAACTGTATGAAGTATTTTTATACAAATTCTAATTACAAATGAAGTATCTTTAGTGGCCCATATCCACTATAAGTTAGATAACCCACTATTTTTCCAAGAACATAACATTTGAGGGATAAAATGGATCCTGTGCTCTCACAGTCAATCTGATGGGAGGCAGCATTACATAAACAGCATCTCCAAAGAGCAGACTTTGATAGGCAAGAGAAGATCCAGATATTACCCTCTTTGATGTTGAAGCATTCGTTAGCAGAATGATAACTGGAAACATTGAAGTACTTAAATTCTTTGTGGACTAGAGCATAGGCTGTAGCAGTTTAGAAAGCCTTGTTTTCACACATGCAGTGGGGACGGAACAGAAGGGAAATGATGAGACTCTTTGGCAGACCTGGATCTGTTTTGAGAGACATGTGTGTATGTACATTTGTTTTACTGAAACACAGCTAAATTAAGAATTAATGGACCTCTGTTGAAAATTAAAGGGATAATTTTAGTTCAGCTCCATATGTTAGCAGGTCAAACACGTGATTTCTAGAACTATTTTTCTAAAATAATAGATATATCTTATTAAACTATTTCCAAATTCTGTTTGTCAGAAAGCATGTATACACATTTCATAATCAGAGCATTATATTTAATATTAAAGGATCAGTAATTTCAAATACTCCTGGAGGTATCATTTGTTCTTTTCAGAAAATGAGACTTACAGACACTTTTAACTAACTGATTTCTTATGAAGGTTTATAAGAACTGGATGCTGTTACAGTTTTGCCACAATATTATTCCCAGAATCACACACATATCATATACATAACAATTAGTCCTAGGATGAACTTAAATGACTCTGTATTACAGTTAAAGGTGAATAAAGTATATAGCAAATGACTTTATGTGAGTTTAAATAGTAAAGAAATTTAAATACATTTGCATACTGGTATAAATTCCCGCAAGTAATTCCACAGAATCTTATACACTCTCCGTACTGTTTTTATGTGGTGGATGAAATGGGCTCCGGATGTACTGACTTTCAAGCGATGCGTAGATAACAGTGTTGCCTAAGTAATCTCACTTTGCTCTTTCCATCCTCACTGGGAATATTCTGTCTTCCTGGTCTCAGATCTGACTGTTGTAACATTTAATCACTGGAGTCAATTATTCTTTGTCATATAACTTTGCTTGGTTTGCACTCTTTCCACATTATATCTGGCCACAAAGGAAATCAATAGCATATCGGTTATGAATAGATAAAGCAGAGGGTGGCTTAGGAAATGGCCTGCCTAGGGGCCCAGAGTGATTATAATTCTCAGCTGCTTTGTCCATGCTAGTAAAGGATCGGTGTCTCTGTGAGCCCGTCCTGCATCTTTCCCAGCTGATATTGCTCTATAATTCCCACTCAAGTTTAGGCTTATGCAGTTCAGATATAATTCTCAACAAGATGGGGTTTTGCCTTATACTCAGTGACTATTATGAGTTGGTTTCATATCAACTAGCCACAAATTAGAATCACCTGAGTGGGGAACATCAGTTGTAGTGGATCAATACGGGAAGATACATCGTCTAGACTATAGCAGCAACTTCTGATGGCAGTCCATATACGAAGGGCATGGCAGAAGGAAGATCACCTAAGTTTTAACTGGCTTGGCCTCTTCTCTTTTCCTGGTGATGGTTTTCTTTGTTGTTTCTGCTGCTACTGCTGCTGCTGCTGCTGCCGATTCCTTCACTGATGCCAGACCAAGCATTTCCTCGTGGACTAGGTACCAGTGCTCTCTGGGAGCCTTACAAGTTTCTGGAACCAGATTGGAGCTGCTGAGACACACAGCCTGTGGACTCAGAAAGGATAGATTGTCACTCCTCTCCCCAAGTAAGAAACAAGTATTGAGAGACTATGCCAATTGCTGCTGAGTCACTCAGTCTTCATGACTAAGTAACCACCAGGTTTCAACTCTTAGGTATAATTTTGTGACCTGCTGTTGCCACTATTTTAAAGAAACACATACACAAGTATAAACCTGACTTAATAAACACATACACATATACACACTAGATTATAAAGATATACACACACACTGGATTTCAAAGCTGATTTACACAAACAGAGATACACACATGCATGCGTGCACACACACACACACACACACACACACACACACACACACACATACCACTAGTTCTCTTCCTCTAGAGAACCCTAAGACAGTGATTAGTTGATATTTCCATAGTAGTTAATATCCTTTTGAAATCTTTGGTAAAACCCATGTAACGATCTCTAATGTTTCACCTAGTTCAGCAAGCACTTTGTACATTTGTGATGTGTGCACGCCTGTGTTCACTGGGACCCTCCAGGAGGGCTGGGTCTTCCAGCATTTCCCAGAAGACACATCCAGGCTGTGTCCAGAGGAGTATGATGCTGTCTTCCTGTGCAGGATTTCTTCTCACTTCTAATGTTTCCAGAGAAATCTCTATTAAACCCATCTCTTGAGAGCTGGTGTTTTACTTCATCAGTCTCTGTTTTGCATGCCCAGTGTCTAGCAAGAAGACATTCCTTCCAATGGGCACAGAACTTTTCATACCACAGACATCTCTATGTCTCTTAACTGTGGCTAACACTGTGACCAGAAGCAAAAATTTGGGTCATAATATAAAAAGGGCTTTTTTTCTTGTTGCTGTAATTACATATTCTTCCCACATACTCTCACTGGCCCAGACTTTTAGTGGACTGTTTCATAAAGGTATATGATGCTATCTCATGAGGCTTCCAAAGTTGAGCAAGATTCTTTTTAATACAGGCAGTCTCCAAAGAACGTGTGGGTAGTGGAAAATCTCAGCCTTCTCAGATATTCTTCCAGGAGGCAACATTGAGTGTTTCCATATGCAGGAGCCATGAGCTTTGATTTTCTCTCAAGATGCACAGAGGAGAGAGACTGTTTTGGCAAGTTCAAGTTCTTTGAGTAGAGTGATTTGAGTGGTAAACACCTGACAGGCGAGAAGCTAAGATCCAAGCTGTTTCCCATGTTCCCAGGGCCTGATTGCAGGGTATCTGCCCTCATGTTACATTGTACACATCATTAGGAAGGCTGCTAGCACCAGGGGACAGCAGAGACTGGAAGAAGAAGACTAAACTGGAAGACTAAACAGAGATTATTGCTGCTGAGAATATATCAGTATTGACCTTTGGATGCCTGTGATTCTGAAAGCCCAAATATTTGAGAAGTTAAAGGAACAGACAAAATGAGCAGGTAGCCACCTCAGATAATAAGACAAATTAATTCCCTTCACCTTTATGGCCATGGGAGGAAAGAATGCCTGGGCTGAGTTCCATGAAAAATGTTCCCACAATTCCTTGGAGAGTGAAGAAATGATTCCTCATGGAAGCAGCTAAAGAAGCAGCCATACAGAGGGTCATGTGGGACAGGAGCTTAGCCCTTACAGCAGGTAATCTTTTAAGAACTCTTTCAAACTTCCAGCAAAGCTGTCCCTGTGGCCAGGGTGGCACTTTGCATAAATTTGTGTTCATGTGCTTTGTCTCAAGAAATATTCTAGAGTTTTCAATAGATTTGCAGGAGTCCTTGACTCCAAAACACCAAGAACACTAAAGGAAAGGGAAAGGCCCTTCTTACAGTGACCTTACTACTCCGTGCTTTCAAACGCTGCTCCTTTCCCAAAGCTCCAGCTGGAGAGGTAAGTGCTGGGCACAGGGTCCCTCTCTATTTCTGTGAATCATTTTCAGAGTAAAACACACACGAAGATGTCCACCTGAAACAAAAAGACAATCACGGAAGAGAAGAGCAGCTGCCCTGGAGCCTCTTGTTACCATTCTCATATGGCCTTAAATATGGGTAAGGCAAGAATTAAGAATATCCTTAGGACACTGGAATCTAGCTTTCAGAATTCATTTGTGAGCTGGGAAGTGTGTGACGATGAACAGTCCCTCATGATAAACAAGTTACTGTAAAGGGCAAGTTTCAATGAGGAATTAACGATCTGTCCTTGGGAGGCCTTTATTTACTATTCAAAAGCCTGAGCGCCCTTTGCTGCTATCAGGCAGATAGTTACAGAGAAATTGATTCTTCTCTCAAGATTTTGCAACGGCCCTAATAAACGATTAACTGCTCTTGGCCCTACCTTTGTAGGCTTAGTGGCTGCTCTGCAGCGGTCAGCATCATTCTCTGTGCAGCAATTAGCGGTAATAAGCGGGAGTCACACAATTGACGGTGTAATATGCCCAGACAGTGTGGAAGCAGCAGTTATGAAATGCTTCATTAGAGAGAGCTCTTGTGCTCTGTACTTCCCTTCCATCAATTTTCCTGGTAACAGAGCCTAATCAAAGTGCAGTGCAGGTGGTGCAGGGACAGTGTGAGCTCAGATGGAGTGCCTTCTGTCTTAGCCCAAAAGACTAGCCTTTCTTGCTCTAAATTCCTTACTCCATCATCCTGACTAATATTTCCCCTGTGTTAATGCTTAGGAAGCTGGGAATAAAAGGCCCAGGCTTATGAGGGCTGCATAGATGGGCACAGTTCTTTTCCTGGCCTATAGTGGTTTTTATTTCAGTCATTATTTTTTATAGTTTTTTTTTCACATTTCCATCTCAGCTTAGACACACCCATCTGTTTCTACATCTTGTCTGCTTTTCCATTAGAGTCCTGAATACATTAGTAGCACCTATTTTGGATTCGCTATCTGGCCATTTCAACATCCTTGTCCTGATGTGTGGGCAATCTTAGAAACTATGACGTTTGCTTTTTAGTAAGCGTTAGGAAGCCTGTTATTGCTGTTAAAAGTCACATGTGATATATCTGTGAAAGGAACTCATCATAGGCTGTGCTAATCACACATGTTTGCTGCTCTACAAATACCTGAAGGGACTATTTAAAGGAGGGGAAAAATATTTTGACTCACAGTGTCAGTCTTCAGTTGACTGGCTTGTTTCATCTGGCCTAAGGCAAGGCAGACCTCCAAGCAAAGAGGGCCTGCTGGAGAAGGGCTGCTTCATTGTCAGCTAGTGGCACCAACATGTGCCCCCTTATTAAGGAAGTAATCTCTTGCCCTTGTAGGTAGGAATTTCTCATTGTGATAAAAGTAAATTTAAGTAATATCTACAAATCCAGCCTTACACATGGAGATAAAAAGAAAACTCCAACCCAAAGAAAACAACCAGAAAAAAAAAAAAAAACCCACAAGGAATGAGTAATTCCTGGCCAGCAAATCAGAAAGGGAAAACACATAAACAAATACAACCAACCAATTTATAGGAAACAAACAGTGCTCATGGATATCTCTCAAGACTAATGGCCCCAATTTTGCCCACCCCGCAAAGGCACATTCTAAAAGAATGGGTGCAAAAACAGGATCCAAGAAACACACATTAACATCAAGTATAGACATCAACTCAGGGTAAAAGAGTGGAAAAAATATTTCAAATAAGTGGACCTAAAGGGTAAGCTGATAGAGCAATTGTAATATCTAACAAAACAGATTTTAAACCCAACCTAATCTTTTTTTTTTTTTTTTTTTTTTTTTTTTTTTGATTTTCGAGACAGGGTTTCTCCGTAGCTTTTTGGTTCCTATCCTGGAACTAGCTCTTGTAGACCAGGCTGGCCTCGAACTCACAGAGATCCTCCCGAGTGCTGGTATTAAAGGCGTGTGCCACCACCGCCAGGCTTAACCCAACCTAATTTTAAAGGATATGAAAGGACACTATATGCTAATCAAAAAAATAAGGTTACCAAGAGGACCTTAAAATTTTTAACATTTATGCACCAAACACAGGGCTCCCAAGTTGATAAGAAAACAAAACAACAGCAGCAACAAGGAACTACTACTACAGCTTAAATCACATATTGCCCTCATAAACTGACAGTGGGAGGCTTCAATACCCATGTCTCCCCAGCAAGCCAGTCATCCAGACAAAAACAATGTAGAAAATTGCTGGAGCTAATTAGCACTCTAAACCAAATGGACCTAACAGATATTTACTGAACATTTGACCCCAACACAAAGAATATATACTTCTTCTTAATACCTCAGGGAATTTTGTCCACAATTGTCCACATACTCAGACAAAATGCAAGTCTCCATACTTACAAGAAAACAGAAATAACACTCTGTGTCCTGTCAGACCACCACAGATTAGGTCTAAATATCAATGACAATAGAAACAAGAGAAAGCTAATAAACTCAAGGAACCTACTACATAGCTCACTACTAAGCAAAAGATAGGTAAAGAGAGAAATTAATAAAGAAATTAAAGATTTTTTGAGGAATTGAATTAAAATGAATACACAACATATCCTGTTGGACTCTGGCGTCCAAACACCGAGAAGGAGTCGCCCCCAGAGACCATCTCACACACTACAGCCGATGCAAAAGCATGAGGATTTTATTAATTCTGTCATGACAGGGTCCCCCAGCATTCGGGGAGCCGAGGGACCTCAAATAGCAGGTACAGTCTACTTTTAAAGGGGCCACAGAAGCAAGGGGGGTTGTTCTTTGAGTATTCTGATTGGCTTATTTGAAAGGGCTATTACCAATAATTGACTGCAGAGCTGTTACCAGATCAGATGAGGTAAGAGGTCATTTTGACCCCGTTTCCCAGGGGACCGAACCAAAGCGTACGTATATGGGTAATTGTTCAGGAACTGAGTACATGCGAGTTTAGCTGTTAGGTCCTTGGTTCCCAGGGGAGGAGGGGAAGCACTATGGCACAGAGGCTGAGAGGATTCAGAATTGTCAAAAATGGCTTCAGGATTGTCTTAAAGTCTTACAATCCAAACTTAGGAACACAATGAAGGCGGTTCTAATTGGCAGTCTCAAAGCTCTAAGGACCTTCATTAAAAAAAAATAGAGAATATCATACTATTAACTTAGGAGCACACCTGAAAACTCTGTAATAAAAAGAAGTATTCACATCCAAGAGGGGTAGATGGCAAGATATAATCAAACTCAGGGCTAAAATCAATACCATAGAATTTAAAAAGTAAAAATAAAAAGAATCATTGAAAAAGAGCTGATTCTTTGAGAAAATCAACAAGATACACAAATCCTTATCCAAACTAAGTAGAAGACGGAGAAAGAATATCCAAATTAACATTTGGATTGGATAAATTAAATTCCCTGATTTAGAAGGGAAAAGGAGGACATTACAAAAGACACTGAGGAAATCTAGAGAAATTGGAAAATGTAAAAGAAATGAATAATTTTATTGATATGTATCACTTTCCAAAGTTAAGTGCAGATCAGAGAAAAACACCCTTCATGAAAAAGGCTTGGCAAAATAGGAATACAAGGTACCTACCTACTTCATCCTAATAAAGGCAGTTTGCAGTAAGATCATAGCCAACACCTACTTAAATGGCAAGAAACTAAAAACGGTTTCACTAAAATCAAGAATAAAATACAGTTGTACACCTTCTCTTTATCTTTTCCATTTAGTACTTGAAGTCCTAGTTAGAGTAAGGAAACAACTGAAGGAGATCAAAGAATGTAATTTGAAAAGAAAATGGTGCTGGTTAAACTGAACAGCTGCAAGTAGAAGTATTCAGACAGATCCATACTTTTCACCCTGAACAAAACTCAACTTCAGATGGGTTAAAGCCCTCAACAAAAATGAGATATACTGTACTTGATAGGAGAGAATATGGGGAACAGTCTTGAACTCATTTGTATAGGAAAAGACCTTCTGAATAGAACACCAATGGCACAGGCACTAAGATCAAGAATTAATAAATGGGACCTCATGAAACTGAGTAGCTTCCTTAAAGCAAAGGACACCATCATTCAGACAAAACACAACCCTACAGAATGGGAAAAGACTTTTACCAATCACAATCTGATTATGGGCTGATATCCAAAATATATAAAGATCTCAAATTACTGTATATAAAGATTTCAAAAAACTGTACATTCAGAAAACAAATCACCTAATTTAAATTGGTTAGATATCAAAACAGAGAAATCTCAAAAAAGTAAACACATATGGCCAAAAAACACTTATAATTTTTTGACATTGAAATCCTTAGCTATCAGGTAAGTGAAAGTCAAAACTACATTGACATTTTTTATCTTACACCTGTCAGAATGGCCAAGATCAATAAAACAAGTGGTAACTAATGCTGGTGAGGATGTAGAGTGAGGGGAACATTCATCCACTGCTGGTGGGTGTACAAATTGGTATGGTCACTATGGAAATCAGTGCAGCAGTTCCATAGAAATATGGGAATCTATCTAGCTCAAGATTCACCTGTACCACCTTATGCACATACCAAAGGATGCTTCATTCTGCCACAGAGACATTTGTTCATCCATGTTTATTGCCCCTTTATTTGTAATAGACAGAAACTGGAAACAACCTTGATGTCCCTCAATAGAAGAATAAAAACACAATGGAATATTCCTAAGCATCCTCCATAAAAAGGAAGAAAGAAAGAAAGAAGGAA